GTTATAATTATGATGTATGACAAAATATTGCACATGCCTCCAAAGTGGAGTGCGCAGGATACAAGAGTTTCCAAAGATCTTGAGAAAATGTCTTTAGAAGAACTTGTAGGAATTCTCGTTGTTTATGAGAATATTCTACAAGGTGACAAAAATAAGTCAAAAGGTTGAATATTGCTCTTAAAACTAAGCATAAAGGTAAGAAGAGCAAACCATCTAGAGTAGTGGAGACATTAAATGATGAATAAGAGGATTCAAACTTTGAAGGAGATGAAGAGTTAAATCTCCTAACAAAAATTCAAGAAGAACTTGAAGAAGCTTGGATATGGAAAAAATAGAAAATTCAAAGGTAAAGAGAAAGAGAAAATGGTATGCTTCAGAATGTCCTAATATGACGAGTAAGGAGAAGGATAAGAAGAAAAACAAAAATCTCATGGCTAGATGGGAAGACTGGATGCTTCTGATTTAGATGATGAGGAAACACATATAGGGTTTATGAAAGACACATACTGCAACACATCAAACGACTTTGATGACAAAGAGGTAAATCTGGTAAACTTAAAGAAATGTATAAAACATTAAATGGAAACACTAGAGAAAGATGTAAAGAGCTGGAAAATAAACTATCTACGACCAATAAAATAATGAAAAATTGAAAATAGAAAATAGTATCCTAAATAGATAAAAGGTAAAACTAGAAAAGAAGTTAGTAGAACATGATATCGCTAATAAGGAACTTGAAAAGGAATTAGTTTTAACTTTGTAGAGCACAAGCAAACAACCTATAGGACTATATAAATATGAAATAGATAGGAAGAAAATGTTGCAATAAGGAAACTTCTATCACAAACTAGTTGAAATGAAAAATCCTTGAATATGCTTCTTAAAAGCTTTAGGAAGGCACCTGACAAAACATAAATTGGTTATGTAAATAAAACAAAAACTATGACAGTTTTAATAAAGAACTTTTTACAAAAAAAAACTAACCCCAATAATGCAAATAAGTTTGGGTGTCTAAATTTGAAATAATTCACATAAATAATGGGTGCTTATGATCCATGAGAGGAAAAATGTCATTATTCCTAAAACTTCAACAGAAGAAAAGAGGAAAAAGTCATATTTTGAAGGATACTAGCATGACAAAATTATAAAAACTAGTTAATTAAGTTTCAAACTTTTTTGTGCATCTAGCAACATTTTACTAGTTGATGGTTGAATCACATTAAACATAAGTCAATTATGTGACAATGATAATGATGTAATCTTTGATAAAAATAAATTTATTATAAATAAACATGATGACATAAACTTTTTCACTCAAAAAATCAAGAAAACTTGTACAAAATTGACATGAATGAATTGACAACTCCAAAAAAATCTCACCTCATATTTATAAATGAAAATCACTGTCTATAACATAGAAAATGTGTCATATAAGCTTGAGATTGTTATCAAAACTAAATAAACAAAATTTTGTAAAAGACTTCTCATATCTCTTATTCAAGTTAAATAAACAAGCTCTTAAAGCTAATATGAATTGTTTTATTTCTCTTTTAAGATGTTATGCACTAAAAATTCATACTGTTAATTACTTACATGCTCTCATAAAACCCAAAATTTTAGAAAGTAAAATATATACTTTTGAAATTTAATTCACACGATTTACCAGTATAGTAATTGAATATACAAATTATAATATTAGTTAATTAAGTAAGATTACTTTGCTTATTTAAAATCATCTGAGTCTCAAAGTAATCAGACTAAAGAAGATTGACGTTACAATTGCTTTAGCCGCTGATCCGATCAGAGCCGTAGGCAGAGGAACCTTTTAAATTTAATGTTTATTTTATTTCCATTTAAAGATAATAGAGTGAGAAAATAAAAAGTGGAGTAGATCCCGAGGGCAAACGTTAACCCGTAGGATGCAATCTTAGGGGCTAAGTTTTCAAAGTGGAGATATAATCATTAAATATTTAATTGGAATCCGTTACTGTAGTAACAAGTGGCGCATAATTTCCCAAACAGTTCCGTGATGCAACCCTTTCTCGTATACATGTAAAATTTCAAGAAGAGATGAACATCATTGCACTAAGTAAATGAGATTCCTATTTCTACCAAAAAGAAAACATCAGATTATGGCCCTCTTCCAATGTCTGTGGTACCATTACCATTTCATTTCTTAAAAGAAGGAAACTCCGTATCGATGGTCCAAGGTTATGGTTATTTTGTCTTTGTCATATTCATCACCAAAAAATATCTTCAAGTGTTTCGCAAGTAATTCTTTCATTATACAACCACAAATTTCGATCAATAGTTTTGAAAAACTAAAATAATGTATTTATAATTTTAATATACAACTTTTAAAAATTCGGCCAGACTACTCGAGTTAGGTTAGTCTTTTTGTGTTCCCATTTCACTCATCAAAAGCCAGAAAGATTGTCCATAATAGAGGTCAAATAATTGAATGGGGCGAATTGAAAACGATTAAGCCTATAAAGAATGGGCACTTTGTTCAGATTTTGAGGTGTTGTAGCATTTCATTGTGAACAGTTCCATCATGTGGGTTTTGATATTTTAGGTTCTTGTCTACTTTTGTTAACTTTAATTTCTAATATTTCACAACCAATTAGTTGATTATTTTCAATATCAATTTCCTTTACAATTTGACCACAATCTACTAAATGTTACCCAAACTAAAAGTGTTAACAAACGATTAAAATATATATCTGTAAATTGATACAGGCGTAAAGATCTAAAATAATTCTCAAAATACGAATTTATCACATTCCTATTTAGCATGAAAACATGGAAACAAAATAATATTTTACACTCTCAAAAATATACACCCATCTTATAACCCACTTTAATAATATAATAATATACATAATAATAATAATAATAATAATAATAATAATAATAATAATAATAATAATAATAATAATAATAATAATAATAATAATTGTTTCTGTTGGATGGGGGACGAGTATAGATGCTGCACACTTCTCCTGATTGGACGAATATTTGATTGTCTCACTGTTCTACGTGACCGATCAATTTGAGGAGATTGATCTGCAGAAGACACTCTGACGGTCGAGTAAGATATCTTTCGTATGAAGGTTCAATGTAATCAAGTTATGAAAAAGTGTCTTACCCCAAAATTAAACCTCTACTTATGGGGTTTACAATAATCAAACCTATTAATTTACCTCTTAATGGTCATTAATGTCAATATTAATCATTCTTTAATAGCAGTTATAGTATTGATTGCACTTTAACTTTTAAACGGCTGTTGCTCCCAACCGGCTATGTCGTTCTTCTCCACACTCCAACCACTCGGTCGGCTCATCACATAGTAACAACAACAATAATAATAATATATTGATATTTTAAGTTAAAAAAGTATTCTAATAAAAAATATTAATGTATTAAATTGTGAATTAGGTGATTTTTTAATCACTACAACAAAAATAAGCTTAAATGCTTATTTGCACTTATATTAGTTTATGTTTATTTGTTATCTAATTTGTCTAATAAAATTTTGGTGAAAAGAAGTAATTTGTTTTTATGGGTGATGTAGAATATAAGAAATTGTCTCTATTTTTTTCAAATTTTAAAATGATTAGTCATAATCTATCTAACTGTAAATGGTTACAACCAAATATCAACGATATTCTATTAGGGAGAAAATTGTTGGCAAAAACATAGAAATACATTATTGTCCTAAAGTGGTATTCAAGATATAACTAAGACTTCTCTATGTTTGGTTTTAAAATCTGAGTCTTGTGGTGGAGCCTACCTCTTAATCAACTTGAGTCAAAGGCGATTCATGATAATATCTGTATTGTGAATGAACCTTCTATTGTTAAAAATCTAAATGTTTTTACTAGTGGTATGCCAATAGAGTCTCATTCCTTGGTTGATATTCTTTTTTTGAAGGATGTCACTCTTATCAATAATTTGTAGGACTTACAACATCTTGATTCACTTCATAGTAGTTTCGTGACAATTCCAAATTTTTTGACCTCTAAGAAAGCTCGTTTTACGAAATAATTAAAATTAATTTTAAAAATGGCTAATATGCTTAATAAGAGTGATGATTCGAATATCGAAGATGATGATGAGCTAATTCAAATTAAAAAAAAAAACTGATCGGAATAGACCAAAGAATGTTATTAAAAAATGTCAATAATATCTAACATGTGTTTATATAGAGAAGTACGTGTTTTTTTACTTAATTACCATCATTGGAAGGTAATAGACTCCCATATAAACATACTCACTTAGATGAGTCTTGAAATATGATATAACAAAACAATATAATAATTTCCCAACTCAACATATTAATATTTGAATATATATCTATTTTATATTTTCATATAAAATAATAAATATGTTATTAAAAATAATGGTAAGCGATTTTTTTAAAATTAAATATGTTTTTAGTTCTTAAATTTTATTGTAAAATTAAAATTCGTCTATGTCTAAGAATAAATAAATATATTTTTTCTAATTTAATTGTTAATTTTTTTTGCGTCAAACACCATTTTTACACAATTTCTACCTTCTAACTTAAATGGTAATTTGTAACATCATTTAATACGTTAAAAATATAATAAGAGGCAAAATAACTAGATTTATTATTTTGTAAATTTAAAAATTAAAATATACAAATAATTGAAAAATATTTATCCAATTTTTTATTATATATGATGTGAAAGTAATATATTTCTGAAAAAATGATTTCCGCCCACCAAAAAAGTGCAGCTAGGTATATTGGTCTAATACTCACCCAACAAGCAATACCTCACACCTATCGCCAAAAGCCAAGTGTCACTTTTACTGTTTTTTCTTTTCTTAACCCTCAATTAAAGTGTACGTGTTTCCCTCACAACAATAAACAGCTAGCATCACTCTATACAATCCTGCAACACCATCGCCTATATAAACCTTTGTACCCATCTTGTACTCTTTCGTCCCAAAACACTTGTTTTGCGTTATTAACGTACAACTTTGTACACCAACAACAAAAAACTCTCTTCACACTCTCACTTTTTTGTTTCCTACCTTTGATTTGCTTCGTTAGTTTTTTTCTGTTACTGTTGTTCTTGTTCTCTGTTATTTCACTATCTGTTGCTTGTTAGTTGGTATTATATATCAGAAAGACAACATGAAGAACCGAGCATCAGGGTTTCTGAAGCAGATCATATCAAATCTGAGCTCAATGGCAAAGTCAAAAACCATGGCTCTGAAGTCCAAAACAAATGCCATAAGGGCTCGTTTGCTCATATTCTCCCTGATGAAGAACAAAAAGTTGTTGATGAGTTCCCTCTCAGAGAAGTTTCATTCTGTGTGGGGGCACGATTCTCAGTCCAAGGATAACGATTGCTTATTGGGAGATGGCACTGACCAAAGCAAGGCCATAGTGTTGTACAACAACTCACTCTCCTTGCCAAACCCCAGTGGAACCCTGGTGGTGGAGGAGCAAGATCAAGATGGCTATGAAGGTTACTACAACTATGAGTGCGGTGATGATGATGATGATGATGGCAAGTACCCGGATCTCACACACACCCTTTTTGATTCTGAGGATTTGGATCTTGGAGGGTCGGTGATTGACTTGGTGAAGAACTCCAAGGAAGAGGCAGGGAAAGAGTTTAAACTGGAGGATGAGATTGACTTTGCAGCTGACCTTTTCATCATGAAGTTTCGCAAACAAATGGATTTGCAGAAGCAAGAGTCTTTCAAGAGGAAGAGGGAAATGCAGAAAAAAGGTGCATGAATCAAGTTCAACCCTGATTTGGTTGCTTATATATTCATCATGGTTGGCTCAACAACACAAAAGCTCAACCCTTGAATCTCATCTCCCTTTGTTATGGTTTTTTTTTAGAATAAGGGAGAAACCGGCAAGCACGGCTAGCTTGCTAAATCAGAGATATTATGGTACTTAACTGGTTTAATTATGACAGCAATAACCCAAAAAAAAAAAACTGACCAGGGTGAATGGATTTTGTTCTTTCTATTTTTGTATTTTTTTTTCATTTTTACTGTTGAATGGTGCCATAGTGTACTTCATCCATGTTCTCTTTTCAGGTGGTACAATAAAAGAAAGAGAACAGATATTGGAAGATGTTACTGTGTTACTTGTAGATGTTTTTAACTCTGAAAATCTGCAACCATTGCAGCATATGAAGCTGAGCTAATTGATGTATGTACATATATCATCATAAATATAAATAAATAGTAATAAATTAAATTTGAATTTAGATAATTAATTATATGGTTGTGGTCTAGAATAAGGAGAAAAAGAAGTAATGGGTTGGAAAAAGTGTTCCATCCTGTAAAAGGGAAAATGGCCCTACAGCTAATAGTAGCATAACTCATGTGAAAGAAAGGTGCAAAAGGTTCTAGACTGCACCAATTATGCATTGAAGGAGACAAAGCAAAGAGAGAATATTATGCATCAAAAGGTGCAAAGGAAACACCAATAGTCTAGCTGGGAATGACATTGATTAATTTCTTCTTTGCGTAAAGCTTTCTAAAGTTTAAACTTCTTTCATTATTTATCTTCACTTTGTAAATGTTTACTTCGTTCTCCCATTGAGTTTGAGATGATGAAGATGCAGCATTAAGTTTTTGGGCTGATCTATGGATGCATTGGGAAATTTAATAATGATAATTAACTTTTAGTTTTGGGACAATTAGGAGGATATAATAAAAAAGAAGAACATCTTCCTTTGTTTAAGCCCAAAAAAAAAATGGAGAATATAAACACTTTATGTTCTCTTGGTTTATTCCTTTCTTTATTCTTTTAATGTTGAGAGTAAGCCTGAAGGAGCTTCGTCCTTAAGGTCATTTCTTAAATCTCCTTCGTATAAATTACTTGTTTCCCTTTTGCTTAAGGTACACTTTCTTTTTTTCTCTTGGTGCAGAAAATACGTAGAAATTTCCCACAACTGCATGTAATTGAATTGTATCTTTTACAGAGTTGAATTGTAAAAGACTTTAGATATAAGGTCAATTAATTTAATAATGAGTGCAAATTTGATGCTATAAATAACCTTTACAGAGTTCAATTTGATTTAAGGATTATTATTATTAGAGTTTCTAATGAATTATTTGATCATCCAAAAATATTTAGTTGTATAATATGTATATGTTTCGATGTGAGAGGAGTAGTGAAGAACTCACATAATGTAATATTAATGATTAATATTTATCAAAGAATGATTATTCTTAATCTAAACTTTCTTCAGAGCTAATAGTAATAATGGTGGGGATGTAAAATGGCACAAAGAATACAAAAGACTTACCTTTTGGAGTTAAAGATTTTCTAGTAACACAGAATTAGGTGTGAAGATTTTGTGACTTTACCAATATAATCACAATCACATGCTTTCCAAGTAGAAAGTTGCCACTTCAGCTTCAAATAACACGACAAAAAGATGGCTGTTGCTTCCTACACTCTATCATATTTCTTCCTTCACTCCATCAAAACTCCTTGCGGAAAATCATTTCCGTAATAGGAAAGGGTAATTGCTTTCCGGAAAACAATTTCCAAAATGTTTATTGGAAGTGAAAGGATGTCGGATGAATTTTGGTAAGGTGCAGGAAGCAATTGCCCAAAAAGATGAGTCCAATTGAATAGAAGTAATAATATATATCCTAAAAAGCCTGAAATGCAAAACAGTGTACTGGGCCGTGATCTGACACCTGGCCCAATGATGTGGAATCTACATGGGCCTCTTTCTGAAGGGGAAAAATTGCAGCAACTACCTCTTAGTTATATAATTTAACGATAAATTAGTTCTTGAAATTTATAATTTAATGTTAAATTGGTTTTATAAAAATAGAACTTAGTATCAAATAAGTCATTAAATATTATAACTTATGTTAAAGTTGTGTTACAAAATTTAACAAGAAATATTTGATACACTTATTATACATTTAAAGAGTAAATCAAAAAAATTCTTTTATATACTTCATTTTCATACTCATTTTCCTAGTTTTGGACAATTCAGAATTCCTAATAAATTCATAACCTGATTAGTTCATTTCTAGTTAGAAGTGAGAAAAAAAATCTATAAAATTTAAATAAAATGGAATGAAATTCAATCCAAATCTATATTTTCTAAAAAGTGATTGGAATTTTATAGATTGAAATATGGATAATGATGAGAGAATCTATCAAGATTAATTGTTGAGATTCAAAGATGATAACTCAATTAAAAGAACTCGCCGAGTTTAGATTTCAATAACCGAACAATAATTTTATTCTATAAGTCATTAATTTCTTTAACCTATTTTCACTACCACACATAATAACATTCTTCAGTTGAAATTCAATTTTCAATCATGCAAAAACAATGACAAGAGGTGATTTTTCTCAAATTATAGGTCAACATTGAACTTGAAAAACAAAAAACTACCAAAGACATGACAAAAAATCACAAACAACAAGCTAACATGATTCTACGTGACTACTCAAACAAAATAACTACTACTGCTAATGGATAAAACTCTCTAATCACTCTTTCATTTATGTAGGGCAATGGCTTGACAAGATCCTACTTATTCTTATCTCTTCCAAAAGATCCTTATATTCACATGATTTAAGGTTGACTCGTTCCTCTAAGTAAAATTTGTTTATGAAGCAGCTAATCAAATTTTATTTTGTGCCCCAGAGAATGGAAAAAAATGCAATCCAACTCGAGATTGTTCCTCTTCTAAGGGTGAAAAGGAAGCACCATGGTCATTTTCTTTCTTCTAGGCGCAGGAGAACATTTCATTTTGTACTTTCTAAAATTTATAATTAATACGAAATTATATAATTTAAAATAAAACTTCATTTTTATTTTATTGAAAATTTCAAATAAACAAAAAAAAAATATTATTTTACAAACATAAACTTTGTTCGAAAAAATAAACTCTAAGACTATAAGATTATTTCAAATATCTTTCGATATTGATCATTCTTTCTAGTGTTGTGTATCTTCTCAACACTTATATTACCATATGTTCTTGTATAAAATTATCGCATACGAAAACCACCATCACAAACAAA